TCCTCGATCAACTTGGGACCGAGTACTCGTCGCTCTCCGACGTTGTCCCAATAAAGAGGGGAACGACACTTACGACCGTAAAGTGCCTCGTAAGGAGCCATCTGAATGGAAGAATGATAGCTGTTGTTGTACGCAAACTCGGCATACGGCAACAATGACTCCCACTTAGCACCCCTGTCAACGACCAAAGCACGAAGCATATCCTCAAGCGTCTGAATAGTCCGCTCTGATTGACCGTCTGTCTCCGGATGATAGGCTGAACTGATCTTTAGCTTCGTGCCCATCGCCTCGTGTAAGCTGTGCCAGAATCTGCTGACGAATCTGGGATCTCTGTCTGATACGATAGTAACGGGCACTCCGTGGAGTCGGATGATCCCACGGGTATATATCTCAGCCAACTTGTCCAGAGACATCTTCATCGAAACGGGTAAGAAATGCGCGACCTTAGTCAACCTGTCGACCACGACCCAGATAGCGTCGTGATGTTCAGACGACCTCGGCAATCCCGTAACAAAATCCATCGTGACTTCCTCCCACTTCCACCTCGGAATCGGCAGTGGCTGCAGGAGGCCAATCGGACTCTGATGTTCGACTTTGACTTGCTGACAGGTAAAACACCTCCTGACAAACTCGGAGACGTCCTTCTTCATGCCTCGCCACCAGAACGACCCTTTCAGGTCGTGATACATCTTCGTTCTCCTGGGATGGGCTAGATAGGGTGCGGTATGAGCCTCTGATAAAATCTCCTTCCGCAACGCCTCGACTTTCGGGACCACGATCCTGCCTCTGAACTCTAAGGCACCATTGGCACCTAGCTGAAAACCCTCGACGCCTCCGGCACGAACCTTGGCCTCCATGACACGAACGAACTCGTCTGAAGCCTGCTCCCGCCGGATTCTCTCTCTCAGCGTCGGCTGAAGCTGCATGGCACTGACACTAGCACTGCCACTCCCCGAAATGACTGTGGGAAGTGCATCGATCGCCTGAAGCTGCATCCGGGCGAACTCCTGAATCAAAGGACTCTGCTGAGTAATGACGTACGTCAAATCACCCCTCACCTTTCGGCTTACGGCATCTGCAACGACGTTCGCCTTCCCCGGATGATACTGAATAGAGCAGTCGTAATCTTTGACAAGCCCTAACCAACGGCGCTGTCTCATGTTGAGCTCCTTCTGAGTAAAGATATACTGCAAGCTCTTATGATCTGTGAAAATCTCACAATGACCGCCGTAAAGATAGTGTCGCCAAATCTTGAGAGCATGAACGACTGCTGCTAACTCCAAGTCGTGCGTCGGATAGTTCTGCTCATGCTGCTTAAGCTGACGTGAAACATACGCGACGACATGGCCATCCTGCATAAGGACGCATCCCAAGCCCTGTCTCGAAGCATCGCTGAAGATGGTGAAACTCCAAGAAGGAGGGAAAAGTCAACACCGGTGCTGAAGTTAATCTCTTCTTGTGCTCCTGAAAGCTCGACTCACATCGGTCAGTCCACTCGAACCTCACAGATTTCCTCGTCAGCTGGGATAGTGGGAGGGCGATCTTGGAAAAGCCCTCGATAAACCTGCGATAGTATCCAGCTAGACCGAGAAAACTGCAAACCTCGGATGGACTCCTCGGTGTCGACCAATTCTGAACAGCTGAGACCTTCGAAGGATCCACCTCGATACCTGCCTGAGTAATCACATGACCCAGAAAAGATACTCGCTGGAGCCAGAACTCGCATTTGGGGAATTTTGCAAACAACTTTTCTCGTCTGAGG